AGGTTTCGAGTTTCCGTTGTCATGGTAACGCTATTAATAGCGGTAATTAAGCGAAAGGATGGAAATCCTATTAAAACCGCCAGCCGAGCTAACAAACCAATTAGGTCACGATTAATCGGTTAAAAAGTCCGTATTACGTCACGGGTCTCGTGTCGTCATTCCTCGTGTGACATCATCATTTTTCTCTGAATAAATTATTTTTATTGATGGTCGTTAAAATAGTTCGTAGAACAGTTGAAATAGATTAGGGTGCGGTCGCCCGTGATTGTATTACTGTAGACTAGGTTAACTGAACTCTGGGGGTTAGGTTAAATTTAGGTCTTCGATTGTTTATATAGTGAGGTGTTAAAGGGTTTCTTTCAGGCATTTTTTTTTCACGCGGGGGAGGGTACACTAAAACTTCGGGGAGGGGGGTGGGGGCGTATTTAAAATTTTATTTGGGGGTGGGGGCGGTGCTGCTGCCCGAAGAGATGTCTGAAAGAAACCCTACAGTGCTAGTGACTGTAGTGACAAAGTGTTGAACGCCAAATTACTAGGAATTCTCGGTTATGTCTAATGGACGTGTTGTTTTACTTGAGGTATGTCTTGGGGGGGGGGGGGGGGGGAGTGGGGGTTAACGACAGAGAGAGAGTTGGAGAGGGGGGTGGGCTGTAAGACCTCAAAAACCACCAATATGACCCAGATCAAAATCGTCGGTTCCCTTACTAGGGCTTGATAAGCTTATGTTGGATCAATCGGGGGGGGGGGGGGGGGGGGGGGGGGGGGGATTGGCACTGGTTTTTTAAAATATCCTTTCATGTTTTTTTTTTGTCATTTAACTAAAATTAATGGTAACCACACCTCAAATGACTAACACAATTTTTTAAAAACAAAAATGTAAAAATCCCCAGTTTAATATCAAACTGTGTCTTATTGCTTCAGGGGTTTGTGTGTGTGTGTGGGGGGGGGGGGGGGGTAACTTCATAGAAAAACAATAAATATGAGTGATTTTGGTTAAGAAGAATGTTACATACCGCTGGGGTGGATATAAATGTCGCATTTTTTTGTTATGTTATATGCACACCATCCCGTAACTTCCATATCGTAAATTCAATATTTATCTTCGTCTATGTCTATAGCCGCTGTGATCTCAGAAATTCTAAGGACATTTTCGACCGACAAAACTGAACAACACGTTTGCACCTTAATATTTAAAAAATAAAATGTCTTCGAGCATTTTGGTACGAGAAAGTCCAACTAAAAATATGTTGTTATGTTTTTTCCTTGTATCCCCAGGGCTTTATAAGCTAGAAGAAAGTGAATCACATTTTTTTTTAACACTTCAAACGTGAAACAGATTGCTTCGTCCGGAGTAATATCCCCTTAGTTTAAAACTAAGATAAGATAACCAAGACAATACGTTTCACGTAGAGTTTACACGTGAGACTGAGGGTTGGTTACTAAATATAGTTCGTGACGTAGACGAGATGTGCTGTTACGATCATGTGTTCTCTAGAAGCAAATTTACCCCGTGTAAGCACAGCAGAACTTGCGGAAGATTTTAAAAGAAAAATATTTTCAGTTAACTATACAGAACATTTTCCAAACACAGAGCGTGGGTGCTGAATAAATAAGGGTCGCACATGAATTACGTCATACTTGGACTGGGAAGAGGGACTCTTTTTAAGAGTGAAATGAGGCTTGGGGGTTTATTTTTTAAAAAAAAACCCACTTTATTTGGTAGATTCTCTCTCTCTCTCTCTCTCTCTTTCTCTCTCTCTCTCTCATTGTAACAGAGAATCATAATAATCCCCCCCCCAATGAAGTTACAATGCAGCATATCCCCCCCCCCCACACCCTTACGCACAATTGTTGCATTTTTTGTTTGTTTTATTTCTAAAATATAACAAGAAGATTAGAAACATCGGTCAATTCGCAGTTGAATCAGTACTGCAATTAAGTTTTGCATTACAATTTGTAAAAAAAAATGTGTGAAAGATGCTTTGATGCTTAAAAACAACTTTAAAATTAAATTATTGTGACGTGACAGGTGACACCATCTTAACCATCTCTTCTCCCCTCGTCACACACCGTCACACCAGTCCGACCCCCCCCCCCCCCCCCCCCTTTCAGATGTGCGTGTGTGGGCCATTTGTGAGCAACATTCATTAGAAAACTACTACAGAAGAAGATGTTGGTTCTGAGTTGTGAAGGAAAATTTACCGCTGTTGTATCTCAGATTTGGAGCCGCACCAAATGGTTAACTAATTAAGTCGTTAATGAATGCCACACTTGCCAAAAACAAAATATTTGGCGTCCGTTTTATTGTTGTTTTTAAACTGCGACTTTTTGTTGAGTACTTTAGGTCTTAATGAGTAAAATCTGATATTACCTTTTGGTCGAGATGACCTATCAAAGACCATTAAGTCCCCTACCCCTCCACCCCCCCTCTATTGACAGTTTTAAGTGTCCCCTCCTTCCCCTGCGAGAAATGACTGAAAGAAACACTGTTTTCAAGTGCCATCTAAATATCGTTAGTAATCCTTAGTCTACCTATATCTCAATAACCAACCGTTATAATTATGTGAAGGTGGGGGGGGGGGGGGCACTCAGAAAAATACAGTGAGTGCCAAACTCTTGTAGAGCCAGAAAAAATACCCCGCCCCTCCTTTCCCCTCCCTCTATTTACTATGTGGTCGGAGGCTTTTGCACTCTGGCCTTTTCGTTTGGCGCTTTCGAAACTACTGTAAACACGTTGGTGAAATTGACGGGTACCACGTGGTACGGGGTGGCAGGGACCCCGGATAAAATGCTCGATTCAGCAACACTTCGAAAAGTAAACAATACCACGTGATGCCCAACATATTCGGGTTGGTTTTATTTATATCCGGCAGCGGCTGCCATCTTGTGGCGCCATTTTGTAACGTCATTATTTTCAAATTGCACCTTTACATTTACAGAAGTTGATCGTTGGACCTTTACTTTCAAAGCTAGATTTCATTAGCTCCTCGCTACATCGTTACTTTTACGTTATATGCCTGGCTTATTTGCTAGTGTGTTGTTTAGTTGATACCCCTACATTCTTGCAATGTGCATTGTATTGTTGAAACTTTTAAAAAAAGATATTAAAATGTTTAAAAAAATCAGTGTTTGAAAAAGGAAAATGTTTTGGTAAAAATATGAGCTTTGGGAAAATATACTAAAATTCTTAAAATTTAAATAAAATTCAAACTCAAACTCAATCTGTAATTAAAAGAAATTATTTAAAAATGCCTTATGAATTCGAAACATGGAAGACAGCTTTTGGCTCCTTAAAGGTAGTGGGTAGAATTTAATTTTTAAAGTGGTAAAAATGTAAATCTTTACCAAAAAAATTGATTTACATGTAAACATTTAACACTGTAGTTTTATATAAAAATATTTTAATTCTTATTTTTTTCTGGCTTATTATCTACACCAGGGGTCTCCAAACTACGGCCCGCGGGCCGGATGCGGCCCGTGATGTCCTCTCATCCGGCCCGCGGAGATCTTTTTGTCCACGGAAAAAACATTTGTTGGTGATGGCTGAGGAACTTTGCCCAGAAAAATCAAAGACATGCCTGGAAGAAACTGGCCCCCGAACTGAAATTTGATCGTTAATGCGGCCCTCGGTCTGAAAAGTTTAGAGACCCCTGATCTACACTAATAAACAACGCTTTCCAAAAATTGATCGCGTCTAATTTTTTTAATGCAAAAACTTGTGTTTTAGTAAATACGCAGACAATTAATTAGCTTGCAGCGTCTAATTAAAAGTGAAGTGCATACACACAACAATACGAAGACATACCAGACAGAGATAAATCAGCCTGGCTACAAAACAACACGAAGACATACCAGACACTTAATCATCGAAGCTTCAAACCAATCTCTGAAATTCCAAGTTTTAAGTACAAAATAATGACCTCTAATTTAACCAACAAGGCTGGCAATTAAATCTTAACCTTTGTTAAAAAACGTTTTAAGACGCCAAACTTATGTCAAACTCTAGTCATCTTTAGACATGTTTTGAAACAAAAATTTTAAACTTCAAGTATTTTATTTGATATAACTCATAGGCCTGTTGAGAGTTTTTTATTTCACTAAGCTATTAGCAGAAGGGGGCAATGAACTAAGATCTAAACGAATTAATTGTAAGATTGCGCTTTTTTTAATTAGCCTTAAATAAAACCGTTTAATGACTTTTTTTCCCCATTAGTAAATAGATTCTGCTTAAAATTTTAATGAATATAAAAAAGAAGTTATTTAAAAAGTTAGTTTTAAATTTAACTTGATTCGGCTGGGAATTACAATATTGAATATAGAGTTTATTAACCTTATTTTTTGGTCTGATAATTGAAAAAAAAACCAAGACATCCAAATTAATACTTTAGAAGAACACAAAACGGGGGCTTAGTAAATGACTTTTTCTTTAAAAAAAAAACAACCGATGCACTTTCCTTGCACTAATGCGGATCGTTTTAGACACGTTTCAAAATTATTTTAAGTTGCAACAAATTTAAATATTAGCACTGTGATGCCACGCAAGCACTAGCCTTTTCATTACACCTTTCCTCTAAAAGTTAATTTTAATTAATCAATCTCACGCCAATGAGGGAAAGAAATGTCTTTATAGTCCACGAAAAAGTGCGTCAGCTGTTTCGATTCGTCCACTTGACTTGTATTTCACGTTTTTTAAGTTCGTGTGCATGATTTTATTAGTCGAAATTTTAATGTTGCAGTAAAGGTGCAGTACAAGCTGTCGCAGTGACAAATCTGGATTAGAAGCATGGAATATGTTTATAGCTACTTTCTAAAAAATCTGGATTAGAAGCATGCAATATGTTCATAGCTACTTTCTAAAAAATCTGGATTAGAAGCATGCAACATGTTTATAGCTACTTTCTAAAAAATCTGGATTAGAAGCATGCAATATGTTCATAGCTACTTTCTAAAAAATCTGGATTAGAAGCATGCAATATGTTCATAGCTACTTTCTAAAAAATCTGGATTAGAAGCATGCAATATGTTTATAGCTACTTTCTAAAAAATCTGGATTAGAAGCATGCAATATGTTCATAGCTACTTTCTAAAAAATCTGGATTAGAAGCATGCAATATGTTTATAGCTACTTTCTAAAAAATCTGGAGTAAGACGAAGAATATTTTCATAGTTTCGTAGCCTACTAAAAAATCAGGAGTCGGACCAAGCAATATTTTCATAGTTTCGTAGCCTACTAAAAAAACAGGAGTCGGACCAAGCAATATTTTCATAGTTTCGTAGCCTACTAAAAAATCAGTAGTCGGACCATGCAATATTTTCATAGTTTCGTATTAAAAAATCTGGAGTATGGCCATGACATATGTTCATAGCTATGTACTAAGAAATCTGGACTGGGGTCATGCAATATGTTCACAGCTACGTACTAGCAATTAAAGATTAATACATTCGAAACTGGCGTAGATGACTAAGTCAATGATAAAACAAATTAACTGAAGTTTCCCAAAAGCAGCCGTAGGGCAATTTTACTACAAAATTAATGTTTTTATTTTGCTTTTTATTTTATCTGTAAGTAGGATTAAATACGCAAATCTTAAAGGGCTCTTAATAGAATAGTTTTAATGGAATCCGATTACATTCGATTACGTTGTGCTAGCTTTGTTTAGTTCGAAATGCATAATATAACAAACACATATTACTTATAGTAAAAATACTTAATATATTAATATTATGTATTTAAACTCACAGCCCACATATCTGCAGACTAGTTAACTCCATTGATTTGTCTTACACGTTGTTAACTAAATCAGTGCTGATTTACATAGCAAACAATACAGCTTATCTAGCCTGAAACGCCGGACTTCTCCATCCTTCTTCCTCTTCTTCGTTCTTAATTTTACTGTTGGAGAAGGATCCCCTCCAATACAATCTATATATATATATATAATTCTCTTCTTGGGCGATAGAAAACACCAAGCTGTAAGCGCGCTCCCTACCACCCCCACCCCTACATGGTCTGGTGAGCTGTGGTTCACGCTAAATGTTTACAATCGTAGAGCCGGGTTTAGTGACGGCTAT